CCTACACCGACTGAACAATTTGGAGGCCCCATCGCCATGATAATAGGCTGGAATTTCCCTTGAGCAGGTCAATCAGCCAAAAAGAAACAAACCTTACAGAAGATGGTGGCAAGACACAACTAGCTCGCCCTGGCCTCTGCTAAATCAACCCCGCAAAGGCTTCTCACAAGAGGAAAATCGAAAAACTTGAAGACCGCTTCTTCTTGTAAGCCTGCGAACAAAGTTTGAGTGCTCGTGAAACGCCAACCTGATCACCTCACTAACTCCAAAGCAACTCCAAGTACCACCACCCTACAAAGCCCCTAGCAAAATGACAAGACGGCCTCGATTACTTCGGAGATGGTGCTATGCCTAAGATAGCAACTGAACCCTATCTGTGATTCCTAGCAGCCATCAGAGTTTGTCTCGCGCAAAAAAGAAACCCTAGTGGCCCGCAGCTGCATCAATCCCTACTCCTCCGCACCCTTGAAACGGACGGGGCTCCGTCACTTGATGGCCACGGGTAGCGTATACGCGCCCCTCTCTCCGGCTCTAACAAAAGCGTTCTTCTACCAGAAAGGCGCCGCCTTTCGGTGCTAATTCTTAGTCACGACCACGAATTCAAATCGAAGAACTTAACTCCACCGATTCAGATATGGAACGGCGACTCTTTGCTTGACCAAATTCCACTGACTTCGACGGATTCGCGTCAATGCAAATTCTTAAGAGACAGACCCAAAAAATCCCGATCTCAACAACCAAAAAAATCGGGATAAAATCAACAAGGCCTCCTCGTTCTTTAACCATTAGACAAAAGCTCCCCTGCGAAAGCCGCCAAAACCTCAAAAAGACTCATAATTCCATCTAGGAACAATCATTAATCCGTCGAAACCCTCCAAAATCCACCACTCCCAAACGAAGCAAAGCTCCTTCCGCAGCGCTTCTGAGACGCCGCCCGGATCGCCGAGAGAGAGAGCTAAAGTCTGACGGCAAGTTGACGCCCTTATCGCCTAAAGACTCCGGAAGAAACGGAGACCAAACACGCAACTCCCGCAGCAACGTGAAGTGTTGTTTTTGTTTTTGTCTCCGATCTCGACTCCTCCATCTCGCGCCACCGCCATTCCCCTGTTCCTGCGGTTCCACTTACTTATCTCATTCCGACGGTCCGATCCCTCCAATTTATGCGCATCACATCTGATTGCTTTTGTCTCACCGACTTTACAACGTCCCGGAGGAACAGAGGAAACAAAGCCGGTACGCGCGTCGCAGCGCCGTCGATACCGTCGCGGGCTCACAGATCCAACGGCTCATTCTCCACTCTAACGTCAAATTATCCTGTTTTCGACGGCGTTATTCCGACGAGCCACCAAAGGAGCGGCTTCAATTGGGTCCCTATAATTTTAATTGCAATTAATAAAAATAGGTTATAATGCTTAGGGACGACGATTGTGATCAGAAGGTCGAGAATGAATCTTGCAGATAGGGTTATGATGGTAATTTGGGAAGTGGATGGGCCGGCTCCGACACGGTCTTCCTTGTTGGTGGCGGCGGCTCGTTCCGAGTCGAGAGCGATGGCTTCCGTTCCCCGCAACGGGAGACAGCCGACGGCTTGACGGCATGCATGACGGGGACCGTCAAAAGGCGTGACGCGGCGTCCTCTATTTCGCAGGCAAAATCTCTTTGCGGAAAGGGATCTCCTCCGTTCATCTGCGATCCGTAAATCCAACGGTGTATAAATATTCTCGCACACTGATTACTTGCGCCACGTGTCCACGACACGTTGGCCCCCGGGTGCCACCCGGTCTACCGGCAATCAAAGCGCCTGCTTCCGATGTCCCATTCACGTAGGCCCCGCACAATTTCCCCAATTAAAGAACGGGTAGGTCAGCAGGGAGGGATGGGTGTGCGGGAAAAGTACATTTTGCTCTGTTTCTCAGTGCCTCCATTATTGTACTAAACAAAGTGTTGTTGTTCAGCAGTGAGCCTCAGCATTTATTAACCATACAACTTTGGGGAAATAGCTTTTATTATACCTCTTTGAGGGTTGGGTGGGTGTAGGATTGGGATGCAAATTATATGGGAAGCATCCTTATAATAATATTATCCATTAATAATAACACAAATATCAAAAATTAGGTAGATCATCTATAATGATCCTTCATGACTTCCCTATGAATAAGGACAAATAGAGTATGCAACAATTGGATTGAGCAGCTTGTGTTATTGATTGCACCTAAAAAGAAAAAAGAAAAGACTGTTGTTGGAGGATATAAAGGTGCAAGAAAAGTAGTCATCAAGTCCTTGTCAAAAGCCAAGTAAATGAAACAAAAGGCAAGGCATGGAAAGTGGATTCCTATTCTTTAAGGGTGCTTGACAAATCTTTGTGTGGCATTGAGGAACAGGCTAGAAGGAGAGGGGACAGTGTGGGGAAGGTCAGAACTGGTGGCATCTGCCAGGAAACAATATTCCAATTGGCTTCCTCCCTCTTGCACACATTTATGGGGTGGAAAGGGATGGGTGATGTAGTGGCATCCAAGTCCTTGGCCACCTGCTTGGAATTTGGTGTTTTGGTGACCGGGACTTGGTTGGACTTATTGGTCTCATGTCCATTTCATGTTCCTTATCCTCTGCATCTTGTTCATATGACATCACCCCTTAGACCTTTAAGATTGCAGTGGAAAATGTGCATGACATGTTCTTTATACAAACTCAAGCAGAAGTAGTACTCTATCAGTTTTAAGAATCATGTTCTCAAGAATTAAAGACTTGGCATGAATTTTGGTAGAAGCCTCACAGACTACTTCTCACCAGAATCTGTTCTCTGTTTTTTTTTTTCTTCCTTCTTTTCTCTTTTTGATAAATTGGTCAGCTAATCATTTATTTTTTGCAGAGTTTATGTGAATTTATGAGGCCTTTTGGTGTAATCATCATTAGGTGGGGGAGTTTCAGCTCCTACCTACTTCCAGTACAACACAGAGCAGAGGAGGCTCCCTTTGCCTGCAGACTCATGCACAGATTTCCATGTCTTCCATCAAATTCTTGCACATCTCTCAAAGATTGATAGATACAGATCATGAGCAGTGCAGCAGCTAATTAATTATCCATGATTCAGAGGACCATTGTTTCCCAGTACTGTTGCAGGGATGATTTTAATGCGCAATGCTGGTCTCTGTGGTGGTGTTGGCCTCTTTGTGCTTGTTCCTTTCATTGATTGAAGTAGTTAACTGTGCATTTATAGATCCCTCCTCCCAAGAAATGGATACAGAAATCAACACAGAACATGGTCCCTAAGAGCTACACTAGATCAACATCACCCTCCTTGTGCCCACATCTTCCTTGGCATCACATGAAATAGCCCTATCTCATAAAATAATATGAACAACATGAACTGCAGGTCTCAGTATCTCTGAACAATATGCATAACATGAAATAGCCCTATTTTATAAAATAAATGTAAAAATAAAAAATGAAGCTACCTTCACATCTTTCACCACCTAGAAAGGTGGGGATCAGACATGAAGCTTTCAGCATAAAAGTGGCCACCTTTATGGTGGTCAATGCCCAGTTGGTCTTGGACAATTCAATAGATGCTTGTTTCAGTATTGATACACAATGGCATGACCTGAAGGAAAGGATGTTCACATTGGAGATGTGACCTAAACACAAAGTCCACAGCTAAAATAGCATGCTTTGTTTGTACCTTCTTCATGTGCATGATTAACTTAGATTTAACTTCTTTGCATATATTAAAATACCAGTTCTTTCTCTCTCTTTAGACCAGCCCATACACTGCATCTATAGTCCAGGTTACCCTTTGATTGAGTACTGTAAGTGGGTGTAAAGAAATGAGTTCTATATGGGGAGCTGTATGGAAGAAAGGTTCTTCAGAACAAAGTCTGTAACTGCACTTGTTGATTGGGGGAACCTTTCCAACCACAGGTACAGCAGCTTCAGACACTGAAGTGTTTGTATTATCACAAGGATGAGCACAGTAAGAGATTGGGCTGTGTTGTGTGTGTGTTTGTGTGGATCAGTGGATAGCATCAGTTGCAGTAGCATAGCTTGGCTCAATTGGATACTGGACTTGGCATTGAGCTCATCTGTTCCAAGGTGGTTTCCAAAGGATTGAGAATATTAAAGGAGAGTAGAATTTGGTTTTCTTAGAACAATATGTTATAAGACTATGGAGGTGCATTAATAGGTAGTGTCAAGAGATCAACAACTTAAACCTTCAACTGAATTTATTATATTAATAATAAGAAAATCCAACACAAGTGCATAATATTGGATATTAGCATAAAAGTAAAATAGAAATTCAAGAAAAAAATTTGGCTATTTCTTTTGAACCTATAGATAATATTATTGGATGATGAAAGTATTATGTTTATAGATCCCTTAGAGAGTCAAAATAAAATTTTTGAGTGGTAAGGATATGATATTTGAGTAAAATCTATTATATACTATTTCACTACAATCTATTATTGTTCTTAGATGAATGAATAGTTTCTGTCATTATATTATTACAGTACACTTATTTGAAATTTAAATTAAATATTTTAAATAAAAATTTAATTCAATCCAACCCAAATAGGTGTTTTCATGATACAATTAGTAATTAATTATTTGAAATAGTAAAGTAAAATATTATTTGAAATAGTAATTTATTAAAACTAATAATACAAATTATTTTGTTTTTCTAACTTTATTTATAATTTAAATATAATGTAATAGGTGCAGTCAACAGTTGAAACTAAGATTTTATTTGGGCCCAAAAAATGGGATTGGCCCTCAGCTGTTGGCCCATTTATGGGTCCATTATCTATGTAGAATTATTTGAAGCGCAACAGATTTCCATGGGCGAACAGTTACTCTTACTTAGTGCACCCCGCGTTAACGATTGTAAAAATAGAAAAGGATATCGAGGACCCACATGTGGGCCTATGTCTTGGCTAATGGAAAGGAGGGTATCAACATTGGGTAAGACTATATGGACGGGAAAAATTACCTTCGATCATCCTTTTTACCTTCGATCGTAGAACGACGATAACAACTATTGCTATTTTTTCGCTTTCTGGTGTCCGTCTCCTCTATTGCACCTCGTCGTTGGATCGGGACTCCACGGGCGGGTAGTGATGGCACAACCGGTGGGCTGGCCGATGGTGGCAGATGCCGCGGCGAGACGGGCGGAATGCGCAGTGGCAGCAGCAGCCGGGGTTCGGGCAGACGGTGGCGGGGATCTTGCTGATGGCGCTGCTCTCGTACTTCGCCATGAAGTTCTTTGGCCCCAAGAGGCCCGCGGAGCTGTTCCAGCTCATCTCCAATCTCTTCCACAAGGGCGACTCGTTGGTTCGTCTCATATTTGTCCCTAACCCTAGCTTTTTTTGAGCTCCTTGCGCAAGATTTGGCACCGTGTCGGATCTTTATCACACGTGTGCGAGTTGAAAAAGATAATATTAATTTGTTTTTCTGAATGCTTGATGGTAATAGTGAAGGAATAGCGAGAAAGGCGAAACCCTTGTGAATTGTGATTCCAGATTGAATAGACTTTCCCAGGATACACATACCAGTATGTTCTTTGAAGGAATTGGTCAAGAATCAAAAAATGATATGAGGTTATCTGTTATACATGTGGACTTGATGACCCCCTCATTTTCTTGATAAAGATTGTTATACTAAATCAGCTACTTCCATTGAGTTTTGGCAGTCTCATGCTTTATCTGACTTGATTCGACTATAAGATTATGTAAAGGGATGGTTTCACAATTGAACTGGAGGAGAGGGCACCTAATAAAAGAGGCATGATCTAATTTGAGGTTGATTGTTCTTTTGCAATTGTGCATTTAACTTGCAACAGAGGCCAGCTATATTTTCATGAACCTTGGACCTTTGAGCATTCGGATTCAATGCTACTCTGGATCTTGGTCAAGGACCCCATACAACAACACTAACAATAAAACCATAAGTACCTGCTAGGACTTAAAAAAAAACAAGAGAGTAAGAAGATTGTTTTTACAGTTTGCAAAACACAAACTCAGTTCATAGGATCAGTTCAAGTGCAACATACACTGTTCATTAGTGAAATGAACATATGGAAGTACTTGATTTTGACCAAGCTGTTCAGAATATTCTGGAGAACACTGTATCCTTTCATACAGATTGTGTAGTTGTATGCCACCACATGCTAGCTCATGTTTAGCTATACTGCACTCATAGTGTTGTTTAGCATGTGGTGTTGCCTTTCTGGATCTGTGCCTTTGAGAACTGACTTTGTCAGTCAGCAATTTTGTGTTATGGACATGAACCCAGTTGACGTGTACTTTTGGGTGTCTCACTTGGCAAGGAGACAAAAGAATAAAGGTGATTTATGGGGAAATATAATTGTAATAACAAATCTATACGTTTTATCTTTTCATGTCAGGCAACCACATAATGCAAATATCAGAAGATGAGTTTTTTTAAATAGAAAAAAAATCTTCAAGAGAAGTAAATAAGTTATTGGCTTATTGGTACATTTCAACACTTTGGATACACATCTGACATGTGGGTAAACAATGGTACATGATTTTTGGGTGCTGGAAACAAGTGTTCTGATTATACTATCCACAGCACATTATTCTGGAGTGTTTTTTATTTGCACTATCTGTTTTAGCCAATATTCCTATTTACTAGTACAATATATGGGTGAAATACAAGTTTGCCAAGGTCTTCTATGGGGTATTTTGTGCTATTATTTGCTATCTTGTGATAATAAAGTCATCTCTGATACTTTACAATGTGTAATGGAATTTCTTTTGCTAATTACCAGGACATGTGGGTTTATCTCTCTGAGAACGAGAAGCTTAAGGATTTTGGTGGTGAGTATGCCCTTGTTTGGCATGAGTCTAATATACCTTGTTTGGCATGATTTAGGCCTTGTACGATAAGCGATCTATTATATTTTGCTGATAGAATTCTTTTCATTATATGGTTTTGGTGCATTCTTTTGTTCTTATTATCTTGCTAGTCCCCTAGGCATATTTTAGCCATTGAAAAAACATGATTGCCTGTGTACGTTCTCTCTTCACAGATTTTGGTGTTTTCACACAACTTCTTTATGTTGTTGTTACAGTTGAAGAATGATAATCATGTTGAAGCCAAGGATGAGGGCCCTGTAGATTGGGTTTCATATTGGAAACCAAATATCACAATAAACTTTGTTGATAATTTTACAAGGTAACATTCCCTCCAAAGAAAAAGAAAAAAAAGGAGTTGACCGACAAGACTTTGCTTCTGGATACTTGTTAACAATACGTACAAGTATGACAGCTGTAGACTCTTTATTTTAAATTAAGCCATAAAAGATTGTGACAGTTTCCTTTTTTTGCATGCTAAAGTTGTCTGGCTGCTGTCTGATTCTTGATGCCCCTGATCTGTATATATATTTTGGAAGTCCTTTTTGTATTATAAATCAAAGATCAAGTTTATTTGCTGCCATTATTTGACCTTTGACCTTTATTTGTCTTGATGCTGTCTTTAACATCCCTTAATTATCATACTTTTATACCAAAAATTTGTGGTGTTGTAGGATGCATCTGGTCTGGGAACTAGAAAAGATTTCATATTTCCCATTTCTTTTAAGTGTTACAAGCCCTTTTGTCAGATTCTGTAGAAAATTGGAACGAGCCTAAAACCTTTCTTGCTTGAGGATGGCTCATATAGATATTGGTTGATGTGTGAGTTAAGTCAAGATAGACTGTGGTGTTTGTTGGAACTACTAGCTATATGTGAGAATGATTGCTGGAAAATGATGATTTCTTGTAGAACGACAAGAATCAATGAATCAAGAGGTGATACTTGGGGGAGTGGGGTGGATCTCAGGTAAAAGGTGGTCCACCTTTACCTTTCTTCTTTCAAGGTGAGACACCAAACCTAGCAACATAGGCCACAAGCCTCGCAAGGCTGTCCTATACCACAATTAGGCTACAAGAGACATTCAAGTCAATTTAAACCCACAAACCTACCAAAGTGAATCATCCATCATGAGTTGAGAAAATGCATACTTTTCATAGGATGGGATTTAACTCCAAACTTTCCACTAGGGAGAGAGATGCTAATCATTGAAGGCAATGGATGTGGCATACCTGCTACCTTCTTATAAGACTGGATATGGGTAGTGTAGTAAGAATGAATTTCTAATGAGGTCTTGATGTGAAGAACTATTCATTGGAAGATGCCAAAGAAATAGGTCGTCTGGAATACTTAACCTTATAAAAAATATGTACAAATTGGTATGTTTAGGATGTCAAATCAAGGATAGGTATGTAGGTTGTGCTGGGTGGGAAGGGACAAACATGGTGCACTGGTTATGGCATGTCATGTGTCAATGTGACTGTCCCTACCATGTCTACCTACTGTCACTGCCCTGTACCACCACAATCATGCTGGCTGAAGGTGATGCATCTGTGAATGTTTGCTAATTGGAGAATTATTTTATGCAAGCTCATAAGCTGCAATTCAATGGGAAATATCTCACACAAACAATGTCTCTAAGCATGAAGGGAGTTCCTGTGTTTGAAGGTGAACATAGAATACATTTTTATGTGTTATGGTGTGGCTGCTCCATCCCAAATTTGTCCACTTCGAGTTTGATAATAAATAAATGGTCAACTTGACCGACATTGCATCATTATTGAAGATATGCTATATGATGTCATTTAAAAATATTGGGTTCTTTATGTGTATGCAACATAGATGTAACAAACATTTAACGTAGTGCAAGTGATGGTGAGTAGAGTTTAGATGTCATCGTTGTCATTTTTCAGCTGGCATGCATTTATTGCTAGAACTTGCATACTATTAAAATTAATTTGTCAATTAAAATTCATTCTTACTGAGAATTTGTGCATTTAAGGCTTGTTTAGTGCTATTTGTGTGCCGAAGCTAAGTTATTTATACTTGCTGATAAAGCTTCATGTTGTGACAGTATATGCTTGACAATTGATGATATTCATTTGCTGTTTTGTTGTCTTCTCTCTTCTGTAATATACATTGGTTCTGTTTTTCATGCCTTACTGCCATAAGTCTGCTGTTTGTTACTGCATTCAGAGTATAATGCTTCAAGCATCAAGTATGATATTTGATCAATTGAACATAAGCATTCATTTTTGTCCTTATTGCTGAATTGTAGCATAAGTTTAGATGACGTTGCACTGTCTTGAGATGTTGGGAGAGATTTAAGATGGCCATCATTTATCTTACCTTTGCTGGTTCTAGCTTTAGTTCTGAACTCCTGGAGTTTGGGACATCAGTATGTGATTTGCACCAGTAATGAGGTGTGGCAAGCTTGATTCTGGATGAAAAGGTTTCATCTCTCTGCAGTGGGAGGAAAAAGATACGTCATGCTTACAGCAGTATGCCATTGCTTTTGATGAGAAAGCGCTGCACCAGTTCAGGTGAGAGTGGAAGATCAAGTCACTGCAATCTTTGCAGGCTGAAATATAACCATCCCTGGTAGACTCTTCTCTCATGCTTGTTTGCTGATTTCTTCCTTGTAATTGTCACTGAACAGTCAGCACTGCCTGTCAATGAATGTAGCTACTGCAGATGCAATCACTGCAAGTCCAACCTCTGGTGGCTGGGAGCTACTTCTTTATGATATGAACTTGATCTGCTGCAGGGCACAGTATTCCACTGCTGGATAAAAATTTCTCTCTGAGTTTCACATTGCTATAAACTTGCCTCAGTTATTTAGCATTGGAGCTTTAGCTTCTATCTTCACTTGTGGCAGTGACCAACATATCAGGATAAATGGATCCAAGTGACTGACATGTGGTGTGCTTTTTCTTTCACTTGCCACCTCATGATATACATATATATATATGTGAATAACACAGTGGAACTGAGATATCAATGCGCTTGTTGGTGAAGTTTTATTGTGTGCAACATTGTGTGAAGTTTATTGTGTTGACATGTCTAACGTCTTTTCCATGTCTATCATGTTTAAACTCCACAATCCTTGGCAGCTTGTTGCCTTCTTTAGACTTTACAGCATATACCTTAGTGGGTCTTGAGTGTCTCATTAGCTCCCCTTTTTCCAAAGCCTATCCGGGAGCTCTTATTGCACCTAGCTGGTTAGGATCTTGTCAACATCTAATCTCATCACTGATCAATTCATGTATATAGGTTTGTATAACATGTGCTGAAGTGGATGAGAATGTCTTGATGGAAGATCAAGTAGATGATAGAGATACCATCTGCTACTGAAAACCAGCTCCGTCAGCTCCGTTCCATGACACGGTATGAGGTTGCACAAGACAGTGGAGTCTGATTCAAATGCATGTTTTTTAGTTAGTAGATGCTTGACATGTCAATCGAGCAACCAACAAGAAGGTGGAGATCGGGAGGGAGAGGGAGGAAAGACAGGTATTGATCTATCTTTCAGCTGACCTGCCAAGAAGATAGATAGATTGATTGTTGATGATTTGACCTACCATTTGATCGCAAAATTTGCATGAAGTAGCTTTATTTCTTTTGGTAGAACCACTAGTTGGATAAAAAAGATGAATCATTGTTATTTAGATTACAGAAGAAGTAGATTCTGTCAACTTTTCCTCTCAAGTGCTGAGCTTTCAGATAAGTTTGGCAAAAAGACATCTCCTGTTTGCAGAAATGACAGCGTCGGCAATAGCCTGATCTCCCAAAGAGGATCTCAGCATGTTCTGGTGTCACGTAGCTGACTCATCCGCGACACCTGCAACCTCAAGCTGAGGCTCCACTTCGGTGGGGTGCATGCACGAAGCCTAAGAACATGCACCTTTTGACCTAGATCCTCTCAAAGAACAAATCTTCCCGATTGCGCCTGCGAAAGATTCCATGAACTTGGACCGAAAAAAAAGAGAGCAGATCGAACAAGACATGCAGAGGCGATTGGCTTTGGGAGCATTCATGGCGAGCAAGGCAATGGAAGGTGCTGCTGTTGGTCGGCACAGTTTGTTGTTTCTTAGGTGGGTGGGGATGCTGCTGCCCCCCTCAAAGCCGATGGTAGCTGAGATATCAGCTAAAAGTCAAACCGGGGTTGACTTGGATGTCGATGGCAATGATGATGTTGGCATAACCTCAGTACCATATCGGCTTAAAGCCATTACACGACGAAGATTAGGCTGAAACACCACTAAGTTTGCGCAGTGATATCATCAATCCTTTGGCCATTGGATTCGATCACCGGAGCACTAATCAACGAGCATGTCTTTAAGTCATAATGGCTTGTGACTAATCTCATTAAGGTAAAAGTTGAGCATCAAATCATGACACACAAAATTCCTCAATTAAAAGAATTGGTCGAAATTTTGATTCGGTCGTCCGTCGTCGACTCAAAAGTCCACTTTGATCTCCTCCGCGTGATCTTGTTGGGAACGGATCAGATGGCGCTCATTGTCTCACGATCTCAAGGTCGGACCATCTCGGCCGTACACCTGCGAGCTGGTCCACCTCTCCTTACGCCCAAGTAATATTGTGGTGGGTTAGCGTGGGACCCACTCAAACTCTCCTCTCGTGCGCCCCCCGCTGACTTCCGAGATCAAACCCGGCTGCCGAATGATGGAGGGCCCCACCGTCCACACATATATATATATATGATGCATAAGCATTGGTGTATATAAGGAGATTTTTAGGCAAAATGATGCATCCTTGAAACTGATTTAGCAGCATAAGCATGGATTATTTTGGGTTCCTTGCACAATTACAGTATTGGAACTTAGCATGAAAAGGGTTTATATAAGGAGTTTGATTCCAAGTTAGTTCTGTGGCAGACCAGCTTTTGGTGTTCTTCTCACTTTGCTTGGTAAAATTATAGCACTCTGACAATCCAACTCCAACATACTACCCCACTAGCCAGTGACTGTTCACAACCCATTGATCCTCTCACCATAGAGGATCCATATCACACCAACCCCTCTCTCTCTCTCTCATGTGCTGTGCTGTTATAAATAAGTGAATCAACATGCCTTGAATTCATCAGAGTCATCTTGGAAGAAGAAGAAGAGCTGCTTGTATAATTGGTTTGTGAGCTTGAGAAGAGATTCTCTGCAAAGTGAGGTAGACAGAGTGCTGTGTGAGTGTGTGTGAAGAAAGAGTTTATGGACATTCAGACAAGACAGGATCTTAGAGGGGATTGCATGCTTACTGAAGTCTCCCTTGATTGGAGGGGCAATCCCTGCAAGCCCAACAAGCATGGGGGCATGAGAGCTGCTGTCTTTGTGTTAGGTCCCCTCTCTCTCTCTCTATTGGACTTGGCATCCTCAATTTCTACTCTATGATCACATGTTCTTGACTCATGAGGCCACTATATACAAGTTTCACAGATCAAAATTGATTAGCTCTCTTGTTCTATTACAGTACAGATAATCAAGTTATATGCAGGATTCAGATTCACAAACAACAATCTACAAGTTTTACCAAAGGTAGATTGAACTGGTGTGAATTATCTAAACATTGTTTTCATTCTCTTCCAGGCATTCAAGCATTTGAGATCATGGCAATTGCTGCTGTTGGCAACAACCTCATAACATATGTCTTCAATGAGATGCACTTTTCTCTGTCAGAATCAGCAAACATAGTGACCAACTTCGTAGGAACCATTTTTATCTTGTCTCTCCTTGGTGGGTTTCTCTCAGATTCTTACCTGGGGAGCTTCTGGACCATGTTGATATTTGGATCTGTCGAGCTCTCAGTAAGTTCTGTTTTCCTCTGACAATTAATCCATGTCTACTGAAGAAGCAGGACAGAAGAACAAACTCTGTGATCGATAACCTATTCAAGGAAAACCAATTTTCAAGGATTAAATGTGTTCTTCCAATTGCTAGCCATATACTTGCATGTGATTTCCATCATAATACCACCGAAGAAGATATGAGAATGCAGTCCAGAAAAGAACATTAACAGATTGCTTTTCCTGCATTGAATCTGCTTTCGTTGGTTTTGCTCAGGGCTTCATACTGCTATCGGTGCAAGCACATCTTCCACAGCTGAGGCCACCACCATGCGACATGATGTCAGAAGCGCATTGCATGGAGGCCAAAGGCTTCAAGGCAACCATGTTCTTTCTTGCACTCTATCTGGTGGCCTTGGGGAGTGGCTGCCTGAAACCTAACATGATATCCCATGGTGCTGACCAGTTCAGAGAAGATGATCCGAACCAGTCGAAGAAGCTCTCCACATATTTCAACATAGCGTACTTCAGCTTCTGTGTGGGAGAGCTGATAGCTCTCACCGTTCTCGTTTGGGTCCAGACGCGATCAGGGATGGACGTCGGTTTCGGAGTGTCAGCAGCTGCCATGGCCATGGGGCTCATCAGCTTAGTTTCTGGTGTTCTTCTCTACAGGAACAGGCCTTCGCAGGGCAGCATCTTTAACCCCATTGCAAGAGTAAGCTTCATCAACCTCTTCTTCAGAGATTACAGATTAATCAAGTGTTACAGTCCTGTGTTTGATGCTCATCATGATCGCAATTATTCCTTGATGATTTGCTTTTGGTGGAAGAGAGTAGGAAATTTCCTTTGGATTTAGATTCATAGTCTTGTGTTTGATGTGTGTGTCGCAAAAAGAGTTTCGTTTGCAAGCTGATCCAGTGACTGTCGACACATTAACCTTTAAGATAAGAACAATGGTGTTTCAATTGGACTGTTCTGCTGCAATAGATGTAATAAAGCTGTATGTAAGCTTTGAATGTTCTTACCATCATGTAGAATGTTTTCTTGCAGGTGTTTGTAGCAGCTTTTTCCAAGAGAAAGCAGGTTTGCCCCTCCATCGTTGGTGATCTTGTACCTTCTCCAAGTGTCCACAACCTCATGCACATCAACAAGTTCAGGTTAGAATAGCTAATCATTCAATCTGATCATATATATCTTCTTAAAGAGCTAATCCTTAAGAGTTGAATGACTGTATTTTTGGTTCCTCTGCATGAGGAAGATTTCTGAACAAAGCCTGCATGAAATCTCATGATGGTTCTGCCATGAAAGAGAGCCGGTGGAGGCTATGCACCCCTGCAGAAGTCGAGCAGGTGAAGGTGATCCTTTCGGTGATACCCATCTTTGCATGCACTATCATCTTCAACACGATCCTCGCCCAGCTCCAGACCTTCTCGGTCCAACAGGGAAGTTCCATGAACGCCCAGCTCGCTGACTCCTTCAAAGTCCCACCGGCTTCTCTCCAAGCCATCCCTTACATGATGCTCATCGTACTGGTGCCCATCTACGAGACCTGCGTCGTCCCTCTCGCTCGACGGCTCACCGGAAAAGACCCTGGGATCTCTCCGCTGCAGCGGATCGGCGTCGGTCTCTTCACCGTCACCTTCTCGATGGTCGCAGCTGCCATGATCGAGAGGAAGAGAAGAGAGACGGCCATTGGGTCGAACGAGCTGCTGTCCATCTTCTGGATTGCCCCTCAGTTCCTCATCTTTGGGCTCTCGGAGATGTTCACAGCAGTGGGGCTCATCGAGTTCTTCTACAAGCAGTCGTCGGCTGGCATGCAGTCCTTCTCGACTGCCATGACCTACTGCTCTTACTCGTTTGGGTTCTTCTTGAGCTCCCTCCTTGTGTCATCGGTGAACAAGATCACATCAAACTCATCAAATGGTGGATGGTTGAGCGACAACGACCTCAACAAGGACAGACTCGACCTCTTCTACTGGCTACTGGCTGCTCTCAGCCTCCTTAACTTCTTCCACTATCTTTTCTGGGCCAAATGGTACTCCGACACTCCATCTCCATCAACTGTTACAACACATGAAGAAGACTACCGCAGCGTCAGTTCTTCAAAGCATGTCGGAGCTGATCAGGACGTACTGTGAAATCACCATCCCACATGAAGCTTCCTTCTCGTGAGTCCTATACTGGAACTAATCTAAACCATGAACATCTCAAGTAGGTTTCACACCAAATCTAGCTGGTGCTGAACCATGAAAACCTCAAAGATTGTCTAAAAGGAAGTCAGGTTCCATCTGAATCATTCACCGTCGAAGAAAACATACTGTCTGCTCTCTTTTCTTGTCTTCTCTTCTCTTTCTCTTCCTTTTTGATTTGAAATCATATTACTGATATCATGCAGATAACCAGCCGAACAGTATCTAGTTTCCATCCATAGATTTGATCTATAGCCAGAGATAATTCCCAGCGCAAAGAACAAACAATTCCCAAAAATAACTTGCAGTATTCTGACTTCCATCATCTTTTAGAGTGCATCCTAGCATTTCTACTGCCATCAACTGGACTACCGCTTCAAAGGAGAGAATTGCTTCAAAGCTTGTGTTTGCTGAATGGATCAAAGTTGCAAAGGATCTCTGCAATGCCTGCAGCATTTCCGGAGACCATAAAGGTTCCAGCGAGCTTTAGGATTCGTGCTCCGTCCCCGTTAACGGTTGGATTTTCATCCTACGAACGCAGGTTGCGACATGCGTGTCTTGATCGAGTTACCTATGGCTTGGGCGGACACATCACCCGGAAGCATTTTTTAGGTGATTACGATTGACGTGGTCCGTGCACGCACATCTCACGTGCATAGATAGCATCTTTTCATACGTCAGTTCCTGTAGAGCGTCAAATCATCACGCACAAAAATATCATTTTCTGGGTCCCGCATGGCTTCGCCATCCGACATCCAATCACGAGGCAGGTAAAGGTTCGGGGATCGTCTTAGTTAGTAGAATAATCAACGCTCGGAGTCTTTGGTAAACCCCATGACACGATAAAGACTTTTCTTTATTACAAATATTGCCATTATATTTTCCTTTAATTAGTATAATCCGGCAGCTATATATATTTTTCCTTAATCTAATTAGAAAATTCATAGTAATCTCTTCTAACTATAGTCAAAATTAGTTGTTTAGTACAAAACATATATATATATATATATGTATATGTATATATAATTTTAGTTCTATATGATTTGGGAATATATTTGCTTAACTTAGATGTATAATAAGAACGATAAATACCAAATTCACCGACTTGGGAGTACAATATATGTAATTGCGCCGATGACGTAGTTTTCCCTTTCTTAGATGCTCTCTCCGTTCTTGACCGAGACATTTGGTGTTACGCGATCTCTCGACACTCATTCGGGATCGTTCCGCTTCTCCCCCTCTAGAGATCGGAACCCTAATTTGGGGGGCAAAAACCCTAGCCGCGATCCAAGGATTTCGAGACCGCTCGATCCAATCCGCAGAAGATTCCCGCAGGGGTATCGTTTTTTTCCTTTAATTGTTGAGAGGGAGGGGGTTTGAGGGTCGAGACACATGAAGGATCCCTCCGATCGGACTAAGGTCGTGGTCCGGCGCTTGCCGCCATCGATGTCGCAACCCGTGCTGATGGAGCAGATCGATGGGAGGTTTGCCGGCCGCTACGATTGGGTGTGCTTTCGTCCCGGAAAGAACAGGTAAAGGGTTTCTTTTTCCCCCGACGAGAAATTTATATGGAGTTGTGCTACGTGGCTCTAGTTGTTGTGGAATTTGATATCTTGATGTTTAGTTAAGGTGGGCGTCGCTTAACGCTGTAATCAAACATATATCTTGGTTGGGATTCTGGTGGCATGGGAGTTGGTTAGCTGACATTTACAGGGCTTCTTTTGAGGCCGTAATTCCGTAGCCTTCGTTTGAGGTTTTCATTCGAGATGTAGTTGCCTCTCTAAATCTTATTGTACCGACTAATTGAGGGACTTCGATCTTTATGTCCGCAGTCATTCATTCTAAAGAGTGTTTTGACTGCGTATTTCCTTTTTGTCAATTCTTCTTTTTTATTTATGCTTCTGTAGCAAAACTTGTTTTCTGTTGTACCATGGACTTAATTAGACCTGTTATTGCAGGTGTAATGGTAAATCATGTTACTGCTTTTTTTGCAGTTAAGTTAGCTCTAAGATTCTATGCTGTTTATGATCTGGTTGCGGAAATGCCAGACTTGATTTTACTAAGCAAATATGTTTGGAAAATTTGTTTAGGCTTTTTTTTTGCTTTTGATTTTGTTCATATGCATCATATTAGATAATGCTTTCAGCTAAATAATCCACAAAACCTACGCTTATGATTTAGAATCTGAATGAGAACTGTAGATATGCTTTTATTTTCAAAAAAACTAAATAGGCTTTCTACTTTTTTTTACTATATCTGTAAAGACATGCCTAGTGCTAATTTTTAATACTTTACTGAATGTCAGTTTGGCTTCAAAGTTACTCGAGTTCCTGACTTATCTTAACATTTTTAACTTTTAAGTATCCAATTATTTCAGTAACATGTGCCTGTATTAACTTCAACCATCGTAAATACAATGGATTTTGTACTTGGCATTTTTATGTTGACTGCACCTGGATTTATAAGTTTACTTTTTTTTTTTTGTTTTACATCTTATTTACAATATGCTAGTGATAGATATAGTTGTTTTATCTTCTTATGGTGTGCATTGAATTTCCACAGCCAAAAGAACCAGAGATATACTCGAGCTTACCTTAACTTCAAGATACCAGATGATGTGGTTGAGTTTGCTGAGTTCTTTGATGGGCATATATTTGTCAACGAGAAGGGTATTCATTATATTCTCATCCTTATATGTAGCTTGAGTTAAGTTTTCATTATCGTTTGTAACTTATTTATTCAAATGCTATTTAAGATTAGGGCAGCATAAGAGATGATAAAGGTTTTTTTCCTTCAGAATCCTTTTGGTAGTGTTGTTTGTCTGAGAACAAATTGCAAATCATATTCATTGTGGGCTTTGTCTTTCTATTTATTTTGATAGTTGAACCTCCTTCCTAGCTTATGCATGTCTGTTTTCTGCATATGCATGTGGCACATCTTGCTGATTGTTATGTGCAGGCTTACATGTGGAGCTTCTGTGTTTGCTTGTGCAATGTGTGCTCATTTATGGTTAAGCTAGTTTCAAATGTAGATTGTATTCAAGTAATCAGCTAGCTATATTGTATGCTAGTTATGTTCCATGTGAAAAATCCTAAAAATTTTTGGTTGGTATTTTCCATGTAATTTGTAATATGGTTTTTGTCTGATAAGTTCTTGAAAATTGTTACGCCAGGTGCTCAATTTAAGGCTCTTGTAGAGTATGCACCCTTTCAACGTGTCCCGAAGCATTGGTCAAAGAAAGATGTTCGTGAAGGGACCATATATAAGGGTACACCTTTCTATCTATTTTCATTTTCTTTTATCTTGTGTACTTGACATTTTAAATGCATGTCTGTGACTCTGTTAGTGTTCTGATTTTAATCACTGTTAGTTTTTTGATGGATACCTAGATTCTGAATATATGGAGTTTCTTGAGCTTATATCAAAGCCTGTGGAACATCTTCCTAGTGCTGAGATTCAGCTGGAGAGAAAAGAAGCTGAAAGAGCTGGTCAGTTGTAATATTTTTATGCATTGATACTTTAAAGTTTAAACTAGATGGTACCATAACAAGTAGTAGCTGTCTAACATGATGAATTTGTTTAATGGTAGAAAAAAATCGTTTTAACAAATATGGCCTTTTGTTCTATAGGTGCTACAAAGGAAACACCCATAGTAACACCTCTAATGGATTTTGTTCGACGGAAAAGAGCAGCTAAAAGTGGTGCTCAGGTATCAAGCTAATCGTGTAGGCTTGCCACTTCCCTTGTATTGATTTTATTGTATTTGATGTATCTGTTTGTCATAAGTCCATGTATCTAACACCTGTATGGGAACTGTCAAACCATGTTCATCCCCACTTGGGCTGCTCCCTGACCCTATGCAGTATACACCTGAAATTTCTAAGGGGTTCAGGTGGCCAACCAAATTATTGTGGGGGAATCATTTAGGTGTAAAACAACTTTCTTATTAGCTGGGTGCTTGCTTGGTTGCTACAAGTAATTGTTAAAATTTGAACGAAACTCAAATTAGAATAAATTATTATATTGGCGTGATAGATACCTAATTGAATTAATTATATTTTTTTGTTCTAATATAATCTTTTTGTTCCTACAATAATGATTCCTGGCTCTGCCTCTTTCCATAGCCTGACTTGATGATTGTTTGAACTTTTAATGCTAGTGATGATTTGTGTTGTTATCGCAAAGTAAGTGTTTGTTCCTTTAGAATACTTCCGAACCTTTGAATGTTTGAAATTTATGGGGAAACACCAAAGGGCCTACTTCAACAACCATTCTACATTAGCCACACGGACAATTAACTCAACATTATTGATAGCTTCAATGAGCTTTGTTTTGTCAACCTCAATCATTAATATTGGTTCCTTCAAACTATTAATGGGCTGATGTTGTAACACTTATTAGTTGTTCTCTGATGTATAGGGGGCAACATCCATCGTGGCTGACTCACTGATTTCCTCCACCTCTATATGGATGAACAACATATATAAAAAGGGGTGCTTTAGGAAGTGCAGTAACTCTGGAAATAACAATATTTACTTTTTCTAACTTTCATTTGCTACGATTATGGCTTCTTTTTTTTCCTACCCAGGATTTGTTTCGAACATCAGATGACCTAGTTTGGCCCATCCTTGGCAATTTTTCAATTTTTTGACCCAGTCAGTTGTGTACCGCATGGTGCAAACTCAGCATCAAGGCATCGACCAGGTTAGATCTGGCTTTCCGTGTCATCTGGATGACCAAAAAGAGTGTCATCAAATATTAAATGATTTAGGGTCTAATTACTTCCCCAAAGGTGGAAATTGGCATCAAAGTGGAGATAAGTCAAGTACTTTGGAATTTGACATAGTGATGAGTGTTTGGTTAATGTGACAAACGGGTCTATAATAGAAGTTAATGTCATTTTACATTTAGATCTTGCTTTCCGTGTCAGCTGGATGACCAAAAAGAGTATCATCAGATATTAAATGATTTAGGGTCTAATTGCTTCCCCAAAGGTGGAAATTGGCACCAAAGTGGAGATAGGTTAAATACTTTGGAATTTGACATTGTGATGAGTGTTTGGTTAATGTCAAGTACTTCTGGTTTGACAAACGGGTCTATAGTAGAAGTTAATGTCATTTTACATGTAATACCTTAGGAGTAATTTCAATGATT